ACTGTTGGCAGCGCGCGCGGTCTGGCCTGAGCAGGTCAGCCTCGGGGGCGGGGCGACGGGGGCAGGAGACAGCGAGGGAGGAGGAAGCGCCCGCCAGATCCTCCTCCTCCTCCTCCTCCTCCTCCTTGTCCTCCGCATCCTCCCAGCTCCTTCTCCCTCCTGCCGCTTCCTCTCCCGTCCTCCTGCACATCCCACTCCCATCATCATGACCATCACCACCACCAGACATCATAGCCATCTTAGCCTTCATCATCATCAACAGCAGCATCATCAGCAGCATCATCATTGTCACCATAATCATCATCATCATCATCATCATCATCATCATCATCATCAGCATCATCATCGTCATCAGCATCATCATCATTATCATCATCAGCATCATCATCAGCATCATCGTCAGCATTACCATCATGCGCATCATCATGATCAGCAGCATCATCATCAATAGCATCATCAGCCTCATCATCATCACCACCACCATCATCATTAACAGCATCAGCATCATCCGTATCATCATCGTCATCGTCATCGACATCGTCATCATCATCAGCATCAGCAGCATCATCATCATTAGCAGCAGCAGCAGCGTCACCACCATCATCACACACATCGTCCTCACGGTCAGCAGCATCATCATCATCAACATCAGCAGCAGCATCCACATCAACATCATGATCCCCATCATCATCGCATTCGTCATCCCTTTCATCCTCATCATCAGCAGCAGCATTACCATCATTGACAGCATCATAATCATCAGCCTCAGCCTCATCATCACCAGTATCAAAGCCATCACCGTCACCATCACAATCACCATCACCATCACCATCACCATCACAATCACCACCATAATCACCAACGCCATCAGCATGACCCGTATCAGAAGTAACCATCATCATCACCACCACCAACATCAGCATCAACATCCTCATCATCGCCACCACCAGAAATATGATCATCAACATCATCATCTTACTCGTCGTCGGCATCACCATCCTTATGATTTGCATCATCACCAGCGTCCGAATCAGCATCAGCATCAACATCATCATCACCACCAACATCAGCATCAGCATCACCATCTTCATCATCAGCATCATCACCATCACCAACACAACCATCATCATCAACATCGCCATCCTCATCATCATCCCCATACTCATCCTCCTCGTCCTCCGCATCCTCCCAGCTCCTTCTCCCTCCCGCCGCTTCCTCTCCCGTCCTCCTGCACATCCCGCTCCCATCATCATGACCATCACCACCACCAGCCATCATAGCCATCTTAGCCATCATCATCATCAACAGCAGCATCATCAGCAGTATCATCATTGTCACCATCATCATCATCATCATCATCAGCATCATCATCGTCATCAGCATCATCATCATCATCATCATCAACATCAGCATCATCATCAGCATTATCGTCAGCATTACCATCATGCGCATCATCATGATCAGCAGCATCATCATCAATAGCATCATCAGCCTTATCATCATCACCACCACCATCATCATTAACAGCATCAGCATCATCCGTATCATCATCGTCATCGTCATCGACATCGTCATCATCAGCATCAGCAGCATCATCATTAGCAGCAGCAGCAGCAGCGTCACCACCATCATCACACACATCGTCCTCACGGTCAGCAGCATCATCATCATCAACATCAGCAGCAGCATCCACATCAACATCATGATCCCCATCATCATCGCATTCGTCATCCCTTTCATCCTCATCATCAGCAGCAGCATTACCATCATTGACAGCATCATAATCATCAGCCTCAGCCTCATCATCACCAGTATCAAGGCCATCACCATCACCATCACCATCACAATCACCACCATAATCACCAACGCCATCAGCATGACCCGTATCAGAAGTAACCATCATCATCACCACCACCAACATCAGCATCAACATCCTCATCATCGCCACCACCAGAAATATGATCATCAACATCATCATCTTACTCGTCGTCGGCATCACCATCCTTATGATTTGCATCATCACCAGCGTCCGAATCAGCATCAGCATCAACATCATCATCACCACCAACATCAGCATCAGCATCACCATCTTCATCATCAGCATCATCACCATCACCAACACAACCATCATCATCAACATCGCCATCCTCATCATCATCCCCATACTCATCCGAATCGCCACCAGTATCATCAACACCATGAGCATCATCCTTATGTTTGTGGATGCCGTGACTAAGGTGTCACCGTCACCATCACCATCACCATCACCCCTCCTCCCTCCACCATCACCATCACCATCACCTCCATCATCGCCATCGCCATCACCATCATCATCGTCATCATCATCGTCATCATCATAGTAATCATCATCATCATCATCATCATCATCATCATCATCATCATCATCATCATCATCATCATCACCCCTCCTCCTTCCTCCACCTTCCTCTCGCGCACGCTCGGCAGAGCGCGCGATAGAGAGGGCGGGGGAAGGGTGGAGGGCGGAGCAGTGAAAGAGAAAGAAGGAGGAGGGAGGGGGGCCGAAGGAGGTAGGATGAGGACCACGCGGGGGGGACCACCCGAACCACCAGGGTGCCCTTCACGACGCCCAGCCCAGAGTGAGCGGAGCCTCTCCGCTGGCCCCAGCAAGGCCGACACCGAGATGCTGGGGAAACCAGGGAAGGAACCGCAGTAACACCCTCAGCCCGGAACCCCAGAGCCCCCTTTGAGACCAGAGACCGTCAAGACTGGCTCGCAGGGCGCGCTTCCTGCCGCGTCGCCTCCCACGGTCTTGCTTCGACCCTGCGCTGCCCTTTGCTGATCAAGGTCGGCGGCACGTCTTCGCCGCTCTGGCCCGCAGTGCGACGCGCAGGAGCCTGATGCGGCGAGGGCTGCGTGAAGCGACTCTCCGTTTCAGTGGCCACGACTCCTCCAGAGGACGTAGCGGAAGCGGAGCGAGGAAACAGAGGTGCGCCACGCCCTGGCGCGGCTTGACGGGAGCGAACGTTGCAACCAGGGGCGAGAGGAGGAGGCGAAGGGGGAGAAGGAGGGAGAGAAGGAGAAGGCCGAGAGGGCCGGGAGGAGCCGACAACGCGGCCGTTCGAGGAAGCTCCTTGGCGGCACTTCGAGTCTGAAGCCTCGGGCCTGCTGGGCAGCGCAGCACAAGCGGGCGACGAGCATCGTCGTCTGCCCGCCTCCGCTCCATGAGGCGCACTCCAACTTAGAAGGAGAAACAACGGCATAAACATCAACGTTTGGCTCTCGTCGCGGATTTCTTGGATCTGCGATGGGCCCCCTTCTCTGGCGCGCGGAGCGCGCCAGGGGCGACGCCAGAGGCGCCGCCAAGGGGGGCCTTCAGCGGCGGATCCAAGAAATCCGCGCGGAGCGCCAACAGTTTATGTTCACGGCGTGTTTTTGTTCTTCGACTCCTTCGGGGCGCTGCCACGAGCCGGAGCGAGTCACGAGGAGCGGGACAAGTCCCAAGGAGCCCGAGCGAGTCCCGAGGAGCGAGTCCCGAGCCCACTGCTGGCAGAGACGCTGCCATGAGCCAGGGCGGACCCAGAGGAAAACGGGCCCTGGACATCCCAAAGTTTGGGCGTTGGCAGAACTGGGTTTGGTGCGACCTGGTTTAGTGATGTGTACTGGGGGACGCCCCCCCAGCCTGTTCCACCAACCCGAACTGCCGTCACCCGGAAAAAAAAAGCACGAGCTACGGCAGACCTGGTTCAGTGACTCTGGCCAATTAATTTAGGGGCTCCAGGGCCCTATTACTAACCGGGTCCCCTTACCTGGGGCCCTGGCTATAGCACCCGATTTCAAGGGGCCTCCCCGAGCCGGCCTCCCCTCCCGGGCTGGTTTTTCCCCCCGACGGCCCTGCGGGGGCTCTGCGACGACCGCCCCCGCGGCACTGGGGCGCGAGGCGGGCCGCGGAGGGGGCTCCCGGAGCGGTGCGGTGCCGGGCCGTGCGGTGCCCTCGAGGTATGCGCGGGGACCTCACCGCACGGCCCGTCACCGCACGATGCTGGGGCCTCGGGCCGCAAAGCCCCCCCGGGCGTCCTCGGAGAACGGCCTCACGACCCCAGCAACCTTTCGGTCACCACGGAGACCCACCGACCCTCCACACGGTGTGGGCGCCGCACCGTGTGGGGCACCCCGAAGACAAGCTCAAGACCCCTGGCCCCCCCAGGACTAGCTCCTGCCCATGGCCCAGGCGCACGAGAACGGCACGCGTGCCAGGCACGCCCCACTGGAGGCTCGCGCCCCCCTCCCCGCACCTTAAGCGGAAGGGCTGGGCGCAAGCCGGAGCGCGGAAGGCGTGGCGAGGGCGATGCCCAGAGACCGTGGCGAGGGAGGGTGGGGAGGAGCATCGGTGCAGGGAAAGACGACGGTGGCCATGACCAAGACAGACCTCGTCAAGGATGGTGCCGATCTTGGCCATCGTGAGTCTTGGCCATCGTCTATTCGTGGATCGCCCCCGCGAACCAACCGCGGCCGTTGGTGCTCCTTCCCTATAGGATCGGGGATCTCGCTCCCGCGCCGCCGGGAGCCTCGGGCATAGCGGAGGCCCCAAGGCGGCGGGAGCGCGCCCGGGCGGCTGGGTCTGCGGGGCCGCAGGCAAAAACACAACAAAACACGCACACGGGGCAGGAGCGCGCGGGGCTGCGAGGGGGAACGTAGGGCCGGCAACACCGACCTGGACTCGGCGAGGCATCGTCGGTAAATCAGCGATAGGCCCCCGGCCGCGAAACCGCAGGGCCCTGGGCCACTACCCTGACCTTCCAGAGTGCTACAGAATAGCACTCCAGACCTACGGACTCATCTGGACTGCTTAAAACCTCGACTGGAATTCGGGTATCTAGGATCTAGGCCCAGGTGCTATTTTTGCAGCCCTTCTGGAAGGTCAGGGTTGACGTGGCACCAGAAAGGCGGCACGGCGCGAGGAGCCGCGGAGTGGCCGGGGCTGAGCGCGCGAGCCGCGCGGGGTACAGGCGCGCTGCGCGTCACCGGAACCACCCGCTCTGCGCCGCGGCGCCGCCCTCCGCGAGGGTTCCCTCCATCATGCCGTCCACCAGGCGGTCGCCGGGCGCGCCGACGAGGTTGTAGTTTGCCTTCTGGGCCAGCCTCATGATGACGTCCTTCTCGCGCATCTCCAGCTCGTGCTTCCGCTTGTGGGTCAAATACTGCGACGCCTTGGCCTCGGCCTGGCTGTCCAGCTTGATGGCCTATGACCTCCTCCTCCTGTTCCTCTTCCTCCTCCTCTTCCCCTTTTTCTTCCTCTTCGTCGTCCTCCTCCTCCTGATCCTCCTCCTCCTCTTCCTCGTCCTCCTCCTCTTGCCCCCTCCCCATCCTCCCCGTCATCCTCCTTAGCCTCATCCTCATCCTCATCCTCATCCATATGTTCATCCTTCTCCCCTATTAGTTCCCATCTCTTTCATACTCCTCCTCCCCCTTCTCTAGATCCTCCCAGTCTTCTCATCCAGCTCTCCCCCCTGTCACCTTCTCCTCCACCACCTTCTCCTCCCCATTCACCCGCCTTTGTGTAAGTTACATGTCCTCCCCGCAACAACAAGCGTGCCAGCGGGGCGACGCATGGGCGTTTCGCCTGAGATTTGTTCCCCCGTGTGAACCGAAAGCTTGCAATCATCAACGCTTGTAGAGGCAACCAACGGGTAGCTTTCAACGTCTGGATCTCGCCTGAAACGTCCTTCCGCCGTAGAATCCAAGATGTTAGAACTCCCAGCTGCTGCACGGATGGAGGGTGGGCGGTGAAAAATCACCGGTTATCTGCTGAAGCTTCTTTGAGATGTACGTGTAAGCTTGAAATCCCTGTCAACTAAGTCGAAGACGATTGGTGCTCAAATCTGCCTGATGTCCCGCCTGCACTTATCATCCGCCGCATACCGCCTGCCTATACGACCACCCTTCGGGTGATAAGGAGGTTCGGGGGGGGGACCTAAGGTCTCACTCGATCGGTCTCACTATCGGACTCACTATCGATATCATGATTTGCCTCGCTCGATCGATCTCACTCGATCGATCTCACAGTCGGTCTCACTCGATCATCCGATCAATCTCACAATCGAAACGACGATCGATCTCACAATCGATGTCACTATCGATCTCACGAGAGATTTTACCATATATCTCACATTCGGTCCCACTATCGATCTCACTATCGATACCACAATCGATCTCACAATCAACGTCATCATCATCACCAACGTCATCGTCATCAAAGTCATCCACATAATCATCACCATCATGGGGACACCATCATCATCACTACCTCATCACCATCATCATGAACATCACCATCATCATCACCATCATCATCGTCGGGACACCATCATCGTCAACATCATCATCATCATCAACATCATCATCATCATCGGGACACCATCATCATCATCGGGGCACCACCATCATCATCATACCATCATCATCATGAACAACAGCATCAAGATCATCATCATCATCGGGACACCATCCTCATCACAAGCAACATCATCATCACCAACATCATCTTCATAGGGACACCATCATCATGGTCACCATCATCACCACCACCACCACCACCATCATCATCATCATCATCATCATCATCGGGACACCATCATAATCAACATCTGCAGCATCACCATCATCGAGCCACCATCACCAAAATCACCATCATCACCTCATCATCATTCCCATCATCAACATCAGCATCACCATCATCCGCGGGACACCATCATCGCCATCTTAATCATGAACAGCATCACCATCTGGACCCCATCATCATCATCACAATCATCATCAACAGCACCATCACCACCCTCATCATCATCATCATCGGAACACCATCATCTTCACCACCTTCATCATGTTCACCATCTCACCATCATCAACATCACCAGGATAATCAACATCATCATCATCGGGACACCATCATTATCAGCAACATCAGCATCATCAACATGATGACCTTCGGGACACCATCATCATCACCACCATGGCCATCATCATCATCACCATCACCATTATCATCGGGACACCATCATCGCCACAACCATCATGATCATCATCATCATCATCATCATCATCATCATCATAATCATCATCGGGACACCATCATCATCATCATCACCATCGGAACACCATCATCATCTCATCATCATCACGAACCGCATCATCAACATCATCAGCATGGAAACACCACCATCACCATCAGCAACATCATCATCAACATCACCATCATCAGGACACCAGCATCGCCGTCACCATCATCATCACCATCATCATTATCATCGGGACACCATCATCATCATCATCATCGACAACATCATCACCATCGGGCCACCATCATCAAAATTAGCATCATCACCTCAGCATCATCATCATCAACATCATTATCATCATCGGCACATCATCATCATCGTCATCACAGTCATCATCATCGGTAAGCAAGCATCATCATCACCATCATCATCATCAACAGCATCATCATCAATATCATCATCATTATCGGGGCACCATCATCATCATCATCATCATCAGCATCATCATCATCATCATCATCATCTCATCATCTCATCATCATCAACATCAGGATCATCAACATCATCATCGACACACCGTCATCATCATCATCAACAACATCAGCATCATCAGCATCATCATCACAGGGACACCATCATCATCACCACCATGGCCATCATCATCATCATCATCATCATCAACATCGTCATCATCATCAGCATCATCATCATCATCATGATCATCATCATCATCATCATCATCATCATCATCATCATCATCATCATCATCATCATCATCATCATCATCATCGGGACACCGACGGGACACCGGCGGGACACCGGCGGGACACCGCGCGCCACCGGGCCCTGGACAGGAAACATTTGGTCCGGCCGCGCCTCAGCCAGAGGCGGGACACTTCTCGCCCGCCCACGCAGCTTCGCCTCGCCCGCACGCACGGCACGCACGAACACGAAACCGAAACCGATTTCCCGGTAGGGGGGCTCTCCGTTCCATTTCGATCTCACCCCCTCACCTCCGAACATTCATCTTCCAACAGTTACACGGGTGGACGATTGCCACGGCATGGCATGATACATGGCGAGGCAGATCTGACAAATAGAGGGCTTGGGAGCGCTTCGTTGTGCCTTCTGGGACGCCCATTCGATTTCAGTGTTCTACACTTAGGAGGGAGATCCGACTTCCACATCGATGCCAGACGGTTCCTTTTTCAACATCTCGGTGTCGCCCAGGATGTCCATACACAACAGCATCAGTAACAACAATCAATTCAGCATTGTTCGCTCTTAAATGCCCGCGAGACATCCGATGTGCGCACCGCAAAACATCAACTCCCGCCCTTTTTGTCTCCGACCGCATCCCCTTTGGGGCTCGTTGTCGTTGCGGGGGAGGGCGACCTTCGCTCGGGTGGACAGGCAGAGTCGAGTCGGGCGGGTCTGGCGGGCGGAGCCTTGAAGCGGGCGGGCGGGTGAGCGTACAAGCGAGCGAACGGGCGGACCCTTACGGGCGGGTCGGGCGGGCCACTTGGGTGGACTCTCACGGGCGGGCCGGACGGGCGGACCCTACCGGGCGTGTCTGGGCAGCGGAGCCTTCAAACACGGCGGCCAGACCCTCACGTGTGGACAGCGCGGGCGACGCCTTCAAGAGGCGGGCGGGCCCCCAGGCAAGCGAACGGGCCGGCCCCAATGGGTGGGTCGGGCGTGTTGACTCCTATGTGCGAGTCGGGCAGGCGGGCTCGAACAACGAGCGGGTCGGGCGATCACGACCTTACAAGAAGCGGGCGGCGAGGAAGTCCGCGCGATTCCTGACGTCGGGGGCGCGATCCCTAGGTAAATTGCGTGGAAATCCGCCTCGGTGCCGCGATCAATTTTCCTGGAAGTTGAACTCCCGCTTGGGCGAGGCGCACATTTGTCGCTCGCCAAGTTGTCGGCAGCAGGGTCGTGCGCGAACGGGCAAAATGTGGCTCTTGCCTCAGCCCGGTGCAGATTTCGCCTGGAAGTTGCGTCCCGCTCGGGCGCGGCACCTATCTGTCCCTCGCCACGTCGTTGTGGGTGGAAGTCTTGACCTGGTCCGAGGCCAGTGCGGCTTTCGCCTGAAAGTGGTGTCGCCGCCCCTGCGTAGCGCGTGTTTTTCCGTCGAGGACTCGCGGGGAAGCGGCAGCGGCAGCGGAGCCCAACAGCCCGCTGATCTTGCGTGGCACGGCGCACGCTTCTGAGGATACCAGAAGGTACCAATGCCGCCATTCCCTGGACCTCTCCGTGGGTGCTTTCTGACCAGGATCGCGAGGCGAATCCAGCGGTGGCGACGAGGGCCTCCCAAGAGGCCCCAAAATGGGAAAGCAGGCGAAGGGGTAGCGGTATGGGTACCTTCGAGAGATCCCAAAACGGTGTGGTGACAGACCGTGCCGTGACCTCGGGAACCCCAAGAGACCTCACCGCACGGTCCGTCACCGCACGGTCTTGGGACCCTGGAGGCCCCTGTCGCCCGAGACATCCTCGGAGAGGGACTCGAGTCCCAAAACCGTGCGGTGACCACGAATCCCCACCGACTCACCCCACGGTGTGGTCACCACACCGTCTGGGGGCCTCCCAACCTTCTCCTCCCCTGAGCTGCGTCGCTCGCTGGTGGCTTGGCCGCGCGAGGGAAGGCCAAATGGTGCTTCGCCGCAGTGCCGCGCAAGGGACTTCTGGTTTGGGACGCACTGGCCCGGGTCAATGCACAGTCCCAGGTCTGTCGGGACTTGCAGGATCTACAAAGCCCAAAGGTATACACCATCACCACCTCCCTCATCCCCTACCTCTCCCAGGAAGGAGGAGAGGAAGATGAGGGCGGAGGAGGGAGGAGGAGTCGACGTGGTGGAATACATTGCTGGGGCCCGCAGGATCCTGCAGGATCCTGCACCCAAGCCCAGGTCGGTGCGCCCCTGGCACTGCAGGGTCCTGCAAGATCCGGCACTCTGGCTGACCCCGTCTGCATTTGGTGGGGTTGTTTTCCAACACCACCACCACAACTAGGAGGGGGAGGGGGTCCTCCTCCTCCTCCTCCTCCTCCTCCTCGTCCTCCTTCTCATCCTCCACCTCCTTCATGCCTCCAACTTATGGTGGTGGTGGTGTAAAACAGGCCCATGATGCATGGACCCCCGTCTCTCGAGCCCCACTCTGGGAGCTCCGCGGGCGCGCCGGTGCGC